CTAGCCCGTGCCGCGTGTAGCCGCGCGGCACGGGGTTCGAACAAGCCGGCATTTAAAAATGGCGGCTCCCCGCTTATGCAAATGAAGCCCGGGAAATTCAAATCCCGGGCTTCATTTGCAAGTGCGGTATGCCTACATTACCCTCCTAGTTCGAACTAGCGGGGTAGTGTAGACATACCCCCAGACAGAGACCCTCGTTTATATGCGCCTGCCTCCCCTGTTATCATCCGATTTAGGCACATGCCTCCTCAGCTCTCACTTTCACCCCACTGCCTGACTTCTACATGATTTGCATAATGCATTTCCTGAAGTCACTGAGCTGTGGGGGAGGCAGCAGGCACCTTCACCATTTAGTAGACGTAGACGGGACAGGAACAGCCACTGAGCTGGAGGCCGAGAGACCAGGGAGGAGGGAGAGGGCTGGAGAGTTCTGCTAACAGGACAGGGCTGTTTCTGGATGCAGGGTTAAGCGCCAAGGTGCTGGGGAAGGCCACTCTTTGTTTGAGCTCTGCCCACAACCACCATTTTCAGCCAGGCTTCCCACATAGCTGGATTTTTCTGCTGAAAGGATTTGTAGTAGAACAATGAAGTAGCCACCATCCGGCTTCAAGGTGAACGCCCGCTGCTATGACAGTGGCGCTTCGTGGCCTTTCCCCCCCAACTCCAGTCGCAATGTTGATGAATCCCTGCCTGGTGTGTGAGTGGAGCAGGCCTGCCAGTGACACTGCTTTCCTTCCCCTCCCCCACAGGCTGGTCTCCCCAGAGCCACCCCCAAAGGGCTTCCTGGTGATGGGCTCCAAGTTCCGCTACAGTGGGCGGACGCAGGCCCAGACCCGGCAGGCCAGTGCCCTGATCGACCGGCCTGCGCCCTTCTTCGAGCGCTCCTCCAGCAAACGGTACACCATGTCTCGCAGCCTCGACGGAGGTACGCCCCAAATTGGGGAGGGGGAGGGAGATTGGTTCACTGGTGGGAGTGGGGAGGACAGGCTCAGACGAAGGGGCTGTGTGGGCGAAGGGTGGCTGGCACTGTGAGCTCACAGCTTCCTGCAGCTGCTCTCAACTCTCACGTGTCAGGGAAGCTGGGAGATTGGTACGAGCGAGGCACAGCACACAGGTGTCACCCCCACTGCTCTGCCAATGCACCCGACTCCTAACCCGCGGCCCCCTCCCCCAGCTCTGCCAGTGCCCCCCAGTCCTGCCCCGCAGCCCCCCCCCCAGCTCTGCCAGTGCCCCCCAGTCCTGCCCCGCAGCCCCCCCCCCAGCTCTGCCAGTGCCCCCCAGTCCTGCCCCGCAGCCCCCCCCCCAGCTCTGCCAGTGCCCCCCAGTCCTGCCCCGCAGCCCCCCCCCCAGCTCTGCCAGTGCCCCCCAGTCCTGCCCCGCAGCCCCCCCCCCAGCTCTGCCAGTGCCCCCCAGTCCTGCCCCGCAGCCCCCCCCCCAGCTCTGCCAGTGCCCCCCAGTCCTGCCCCGCAGCCCCCCCCCCAGCTCTGCCAGTGCCCCCCAGTCCTGCCCCGCAGCCCCCCCCCCAGCTCTGCCAGTGCCCCCCAGTCCTGCCCCGCAGCCCCCCCCCCAGCTCTGCCAGTGCCCCCCAGTCCTGCCCCGCAGCCCCCCCCCCAGCTCTGCCAGTGCCCCCCAGTCCTGCCCCGCAGCCCCCCCCCCAGCTCTGCCAGTGCCCCCCAGTCCTGCCCCGCAGCCCCCCCCCCAGCTCTGCCAGTGCCCCCCAGTCCTGCCCCGCAGCCCCCCCCCCAGCTCTGCCAGTGCCCCCCAGTCCTGCCCCGCAGCCCCCCCCCCAGCTCTGCCAGTGCCCCCCAGTCCTGCCCCGCAGCCCCCCCCCCAGCTCTGCCAGTGCCCCCCAGTCCTGCCCCGCAGCCCCCCCCCCAGCTCTGCCAGTGCCCCCCAGTCCTGCCCCGCAGCCCCCCCCCCAGCTCTGCCAGTGCCCCCCAGTCCTGCCCCGCAGCCCCCCCCCCAGCTCTGCCAGTGCCCCCCAGTCCTGCCCCGCAGCCCCCCCCCCAGCTCTGCCAGTGCCCCCCAGTCCTGCCCCGCAGCCCCCCCCCCAGCTCTGCCAGTGCCCCCCAGTCCTGCCCCGCAGCCCCCCCCCCAGCTCTGCCAGTGCCCCCCAGTCCTGCCCCGCAGCCCCCCCCCCAGCTCTGCCAGTGCCCCCCAGTCCTGCCCCGCAGCCCCCCCCCCAGCTCTGCCAGTGCCCCCCAGTCCTGCCCCGCAGCCCCCCCCCCAGCTCTGCCAGTGCCCCCCAGTCCTGCCCCGCAGCCCCCCCCCCAGCTCTGCCAGTGCCCCCCAGTCCTGCCCCGCAGCCCCCCCCCCAGCTCTGCCAGTGCCCCCCAGTCCTGCCCCGCAGCCCCCCCCCCAGCTCTGCCAGTGCCCCCCAGTCCTGCCCCGCAGCCCCCCCCCCAGCTCTGCCAGTGCCCCCCAGTCCTGCCCCGCAGCCCCCCCCCCAGCTCTGCCAGTGCCCCCCAGTCCTGCCCCGCAGCCCCCCCCCCAGCTCTGCCAGTGCCCCCCAGTCCTGCCCCGCAGCCCCCCCCCCAGCTCTGCCAGTGCCCCCCAGTCCTGCCCCGCAGCCCCCCCCCCAGCTCTGCCAGTGCCCCCCAGTCCTGCCCCGCAGCCCCCCCCCCAGCTCTGCCAGTGCCCCCCAGTCCTGCCCCGCAGCCCCCCCCCCAGCTCTGCCAGTGCCCCCCAGTCCTGCCCCGCAGCCCCCCCCCCAGCTCTGCCAGTGCCCCCCAGTCCTGCCCCGCAGCCCCCCCCCCAGCTCTGCCAGTGCCCCCCAGTCCTGCCCCGCAGCCCCCCCCCCAGCTCTGCCAGTGCCCCCCAGTCCTGCCCCGCAGCCCCCCCCCCAGCTCTGCCAGTGCCCCCCAGTCCTGCCCCGCAGCCCCCCCCCCAGCTCTGCCAGTGCCCCCCAGTCCTGCCCCGCAGCCCCCCCCCCAGCTCTGCCAGTGCCCCCCAGTCCTGCCCCGCAGCCCCCCCCCCAGCTCTGCCAGTGCCCCCCAGTCCTGCCCCGCAGCCCCCCCCCCAGCTCTGCCAGTGCCCCCCAGTCCTGCCCCGCAGCCCCCCCCCCAGCTCTGCCAGTGCCCCCCAGTCCTGCCCCGCAGCCCCCCCCCCAGCTCTGCCAGTGCCCCCCAGTCCTGCCCCGCAGCCCCCCCCCCAGCTCTGCCAGTGCCCCCCAGTCCTGCCCCGCAGCCCCCCCCCCAGCTCTGCCAGTGCCCCCCAGTCCTGCCCCGCAGCCCCCCCCCCAGCTCTGCCAGTGCCCCCCAGTCCTGCCCCGCAGCCCCCCCCCCAGCTCTGCCAGTGCCCCCCAGTCCTGCCCCGCAGCCCCCCCCCCAGCTCTGCCAGTGCCCCCCAGTCCTGCCCCGCAGCCCCCCCCCCAGCTCTGCCAGTGCACCCCAGTCCTGACCCGCAGCTCCTCCCCCAGCTCTGCCAGTTCTCCCCAGTCCTGACTGAGCAGCAAGCCATGTCTGTCTCCCCGCAACCTCCCGGCTATTCCAGCTTGTGTCCCCATCACTCCTCTCCCAGACCTGCTGCCTCACTTGCTGCCCCAGAGCTAGCTGTGCATGCAGGTCTGCCAAGGCATTGGGAGTGCTTTAAACTCAGGGCTTCGAGTGACCCTTGGGACCAGGCTCTTTCTGGCCCATTAGTAGGAGAGTTAGGCTAATACCCGATCCCCCAGGCCTGTGGCCTTCTGCCCCCGCGCCATTCGAGTGAGGGACTGACACACTGGGAAGCAGGACGAGCCGCTGGACTTGGAGGGAAGAATAAATGAGATAAATGGGCTGGGTTCATCTCTGCTCCCACAGCACAGACTGCAGGTATAAAACCCCTGCTCTAGTGTGGGACCACCCAGTCTGTGCTCGGTTCACGGGGAGGGAAGTGGCAACCCCGGGGCGGGTGTAGCAGACTCACTTCCAGCTACCTGACTGCTGAGGCTCCGGCTCAGGTTTTTAATGCCATTTAGGCATTGCACTGCTCAGTGTTGCTACTCTGGGTCAGGTGCCTGAGTCCTGGTGCCATTCAGTGAGACCTAGGTGAAGTTCACTGGGCGTGGCAGCCCTGGGTGGAGCAGCGCCAAAATAGCCTTACAAAGCTGGGCCTACAGCCTTGCCTAGCCGAGGGGAGGGGCTTCTTTCAGCTGAGCTAGCTCACCTGGCTTGCAGACCGGGCTTGAGGAGCGTAGCTAGCTCCATTACTGGTCTCGGCAAAGCCTGTGGGGCAACGTGGGAGCAGCTGGCCATGAAGACTTTATACCTTGAGGCTACGTCCAGACGACAGGGTTTTGCGGGATGCTGCCGCGTCCAAGGAATGCGTTTGCTCTTTTGGGGAGCCCTGTGTTCCTCATTTCATGAGGCATAAGGCCTCCGCTAAAAGAGGAGGCTTTTCCGCCATATGGCCCTTTCTAGATTGGGCCAAAAGTCTCTTGTGCAAAAGCGATTGGAAAAAGCTACGCAAATTGCAGAGCTTTTTCTGATAAAGCCCCGTAGTCTAGAGCTAGTCCCAGGCAGGAGAGGAAGGGGAGGGAAGGAAACAACGGCAAATGCAGGCCGGCCCTCAGGGCAGTACCCCTGCCATGGAGGACTGTGGAATTGCCTCTCATGGGAAGAGTGGAAGCCTTGTTGCTAGGAGACTGGCTGTAAGGACCAGGCCTGTGCTGGCTATGGCTGGGGACGGCGTTCAGGGGGGCTAGCTGGGTCTGTCTAATCCCCTTCCACCTCTTACCCCAATCTGTGTGTTCTCTGCACCCTGCAGAATTCTCGCGCCCAGCCTCCGTCAGCGAGAACCACGATGGAGGGGCGGAGTCCGAGAGGCGGGACGAGGACAGCGAGTACGGCGGGAGGCGACGCTCTGAGGCAGAGGATGAGGAAGTCACAACCCCGACAAAAATCAAGGAGCTGAAGGTACAGGGCCTACTGGCAGTGAGGCCAGGCAGAGGCTGGTTTGGAGGGGCGCCCTCTATATGGATTGGCCAGGGCAGCCCCAGCGTGCATGCGGAGAGGGAAGGAGCCCAGGAGGCTAGAGACATGGGAGCAGGTGCTCTATACCCCAGAGGAGAAGGGCTGTCTCATACAATCTGTGTCTGCCGCACAGCAGTGCCCTTCCCTGCTGGGAAATGCCAAGACCTCCGTGCGAGGCACTGGCCCAGAGATACCTGCTCCTGACCCTCTGCGCTCCAAGGTATGGGCTTGCCTGTCTTCCTCGGGAGGAGGACCCTCCTCCTTCCCTTGCCCAGCCACACGGGGAGCCTCATGCCACCTCGGGCCCACTCATGAGATGTCTCCATAGATCTGGCCAGCAAGGGCTTCCCAGGCCTTGCTGTCTGCCACTGCTTGGCTCCTTGGTGAGAGCAAGAAAGGAGACGCTTCCCTCAGGCTGGGCCATTCGGATATACCTGGAGAGCACAGCACACCTTGCAGCTGCCTTCAGGGAGAGGCAGAGCATTTCAGCGTTGGCCACTGTCTGAGCAGGGGTTATCTGGGTCATGGAGCAGCAGCCACTTTCTGAGCTCCCCTTCTGGCCCATGTGGGAATGGGGGGTAGCCATGACCAAAGAACAGAGCACAGTCCACACTCCTAGTTCCCTTCCCTCCACACGCACTGCACATGCAGCCATCCACACTGCACACACAGCCACCTGCACACACACACACATTCACAGACACTTGCACTGAACATGCAAACACTTGCTTTGCACACGCAGACTTAGCAAACACTCATAGCTCACACATTCATATTGCACATGCAGATACTCACAGACACACTGCACACACAAACTCTCACAGACTGCACAGGCAAACACTCGCTTTGCACACGCAGACACAGACACTCACACTACACACGCAAATGCTTGCACTGCACATGCAGACACTCACACTCACTACACTCACAAATGTTCGCATTGTATAGAGACACCCCCACAGACAGCCGTTTACACCAGGCACTCACCTACAAATAAATACACCTGCTCGCAGGCACTTGCATACTGAAATACACAATCCTAGTGATGCCAGATGGGTCTTAGAGGAGTCGTCCAGACCTCTGGCTTCTCCTCTCTATTTCCACTTCGTGGGGGCCAGGCCTCCAGGTCTCCCCCATAGAGAGATGGATTTTCTGACAGTTGATCTCAGTCTGTGACTAGAAATCTGGTGGCACCAGCAAGGCACTGCTATGGGGAAGCTCATGTTGCTGATTTTGCCCCTGGCATTGCCCAGGGTCCTGTGTTAAACTGAACTGTGATGTGTGTGACAAGTTCCCTTGACTGACTGTGCTGGTTCCTTTCCCCTCTCTTTGCTGCCAGCCGGAGCAGGAAACCACCCCCAGGCACAAGCAGGAGGTATTCTCTCTTTGGAGCATCTTACTGCCCATTGGTGCATCATACTGTCCATCTCCTTTAAAACAAGCACCGCCCCTTCATCCCTCCCCCACTGTGTGTCACTCTATTTACTGGAATACAGGATGCACCCAAACATCACTGGGGAGCCTCCCGCTCCAGAGCACAGTCCGAGAAACCCAGTGGCCAAGCACATGGGCGTGTTCCCCGAAGCACAAGCAGCATTTTCTGTCCCACTAAGTGAGGCAGCTGTCCTCGCCTCGGGTATGTGGACATGAGCCCTCCCAAGGTGCTACAGCCAGGCCACCATGCCCCTAGGGTGTCCTGGCGACTGCTCTCTTTACTGATGCCTCTGCATTTTCTTCCTGTGTCTCTTCTCTCTGCCCAGCCCCCTCTCTCTGTCCCTGGCCCCGGCTCCCTCTGACAGAGGAGAATGAGACAGCCCTCCCCCCTCCACCCCCAGCTCCATCTCTTCCAGTTTGCAACATTATTGCCAGGCTCAGAACTCTCCATGGTGACCCCTGCGAGGCCTCTGTAATGCTCTGGGCAAAGCATGGGGCTGCATGGAGCGATGCTGCCCCACAGTTACGTGCCAAGTCAGATACAAGCCCTCATGCAAGAGAACCTTTCCCGGGTTCCTCTCCTGGAGAGAGCAGTAATCAGGTGGCCTCTGGAGTTCCAGAATCAGCCCCCCACGCTGGCCTTGGGCAGGTCACTTGGATCCTTCTTGGTCTGTTTCACCCACCCGCTAGTGGGGAGCACGAGTTCTTTTGGAAGAGGGGTCTGGCTAGGGAGGGTCCTTGCATGCTTTACTGGCAGCTCAGAACCACTTGGCAAGGGGTCTGCGAGGGTACGTGACCAGTGGAACAATTCACATGGGGATGTGGTGATCTTTAAATCGAGACAGGGAGACTTTCTCAAAGATGCTCTAGCTAAAATCCCTGCCAAGCCCCTTTGATGACTGATGTGCTCTTCAGCCTGAGCTGGTTTGTTTATTTTCCCAGCTCCTGCAGGTGCTTGGCCTTGTTCCCTCCATGGTCTGTCTCATCCCTCATTCCTTTCTGCATGTGTCATTCTCCATCGCTGTCCTGTGCACCCAAGAACACCTTGTGCTAGTGATCTGTGAACCTCAGAGTGGCTAGTCCTAGGATGCAGATAACAGTTTGGATTCTTATTCTAAATGTCTCTGGGTCTGCAAAGAAGGTTGAACTTCTCAGGAAAAGGCCTCTTGGCCCTTGCAGTCCTGCACAGGACTCAGAAATGTGCAAGTTGCTACAGGAGTTTGACATAAGGGCAAGATAGAAGTTTATTGGAACTTTTTTGAACCTCCAAACAGATTTGAGTTTAGGGAAAAAATTGGAGTTGGTTCTTGTTCTTTTTGACTGGGTTCACCCATCACTAGTGCAGAAACAGGGGTTCTCACAACCCTCACATTGTCATGGAAAGGTTTGGCTCTGCTGTAGAGTTAGGGCCTGAATCAGTATGCGGAACACACCTGAATAGTGGGCCAAACCCCACCTCTGGACATTGTAGCACTAAGGGGAGGGATTTGGACCATTGTCCAGAATCAAGTTCCAGGGAAGCCTTATGTAAAGACCAGTAGAACATTTTCAACGGGTTCCAGTTGGCAACACTGTAAAATAGATTGGAACAGATTGGGTCTATGGTTTCAGGAGTGTTGGAACATGATGACCCTCCAGCAGAAATTAACAGAGACCAGTAGAATCGAATAGAGACTAGAGAGGACTGGAATGGAAATGACTCCCCTTTGAGTCCCACCACTCTACTAGTACTTGAGGATCATCTCGCCCTGGTCTGACATTTGAGTCCCTGGCTGGAAAGGGGGCACATTGATCAATACCAAGAAATATGTGTAAGTTCTGCCAGTCACTTTCAGCTGAAGCTGCCCTCGTCTTTGGGGTGATTCCTGGTACATTTGGCTCTTGATTTCCCAAATTCAGCTCAGTGGGAAGCAGGTTTCCCTTCCCCACAGGTATCCAATCTCTGCCTTACTACTAACCTGCTCCTCTCCCTCCCAAAGTTTTTAGACAAACCAGAAGACGTTTTGCTAAAGCACCAGGCCAGTATCAATGAGCTGAAGAGGACGCTGAAGGAGCCCAATAGCAAGCTGGTTCACCGGGATCGGGACAGGAGGCTGCCTTCATCGCCAGCCTCTTCTTCGCCCAAGAATGAGGATGAGACCCCAAAGGGGACCCCGGAGAAGGCCAGCGAGGTTAGTTCTGGTGTCTGTTCTGTCAGTTTGTGTCTGTGGCATGGTGGGAGGCGAGGATCATTGGTGCCTTGGGCTCCCTGTGCTCTGTGCTACTCAGGAAAATGTTCAGTGGGCCCTGAATAAAGTGTGTGCACATGGCAGCAGCCCCGAGCTGGCCTCTGGATTTGATGCCTAGTCTTTGCAGTCAGGCAGGACTTACGCCCAGACACCCAGGGAGGGCCATGCCCCCGCACCTGAGTGACGATGAAATCCAGCCTGACAGGTGTCTTGCTGCTTCCGTTCTGTTGTGATGGCTGCTCTGCTTGCTTCGGGCACCCCTACACAGGAGTCGGGCTGAGGACTCCATGGCCGATGTCCCTGCGCTTGCAGTGTGAAGGGAAGTGAGTGAATAATGCTGGCTGAGCTGTCTCTGGTGCCAGGGTGCAGTTCTGGGCTTGCTGTGGGGGGGGAGAGAGGTGCCTGCTTCCAGCTGTTGTTAAGGGTTTCCGGCCCCCTCTGCTCCCAAGGCTCTGGGACGGGTGTGCGATAGGACTCACAGACTCTGCGCTTGCTGGCTGATGCAGGGGAGCTCAGGAGATGGCTCTGTAAAGTTGGGATCCTGCATGCAGCCCCTTGTGGCCTTAGGGGAACAGGGCAGCGGATACTGCAGCATGTTGAGCCCATCCTCCGCTGGGCTGTGAGCAAGAGGTGAGGAAGGGCAGGTGAGACCACAGAGAACTGTGCTCTGCTGAGGACGGCCCTGCTGGTGGTTCCCGTAGATGGGACACCTGTGGACAAGGAGCTGGAAGTGGGTGGGAGGGCTGGGAAGGGGAGACTGGCTGTATAAACCAAGACAGTGGAAAAGCCCTAGGGGATGCCTGGGCTTTGTCGGTTAAGGGCGCCACCTGCCTTTAGCTTCAAGCATCGACTCCCTCAGCTCCTGGCTAGACGACCTGTGCAGCATGTAAATGGCAAGACCCTCTCCCTGCCCCAGCTGTAGGGCTGCTTTACCTTGGAATGGCTGCCGGCTTGGTGCTTTGGGTAGCGAGCCGTGCGCACCCGTGGAGCTGAATCAGTATTGCTCGTGTTGCTCGCTCCCCAGCTCTTCGACAGGAGGTAGCCTGGGCAAGCCTCAGACTGCAGTTACTGCTGCAGTGTGGCAGGGCCCCTTGTGGCCTTCCCCC